TTAGAGTGCCGTGGCATCAGCCTAGCTCACAGCAACCTCAAACTCCTGGGCTCAAGCGATCCTCCTGCCCCAGCCTCCCGGGTAGCTGGGACTACAGGCACGTGCCACCGTGCCCAGCTAATTTTTTCTGTTTTTAGTTGTTTGGCTAATTTCTTTCTATTTATAGTAGAGACGGGGTCTCGCTCTTGCTCAGGCTGGTCTCGAGCTGCTGAGCTCAAGCAATCCTCCCGCCTCCTCAGCCTCCCAGAGTACTAGGATTACAGGCGTGAGCCACCACGCCTGGCCTAAAGTGTAAAATTTAAAAGACAAAAATATTCAAATAATTGTGGATTCAATAATTTGTTAATAGATACATAATATAGAAACATGTAAAATGTGATATCACTACAAAATGTGTGTGGTGGGAGAAGTAAAATTGTAGACTATTTGTATTTAATTGAAATTAAATTATTATCGGTCTAAATCAGAGTGCTATAACTAAGATACTTTTTATAAACCCAATGCTAATAATTAAGAAAAAAACTGCTAGTAGATATACAAAAGATAAAGAGAAAGTAATCAAAGCGTATCACTACAAAACTTCATTCTATCAATACAAGGTTAGACTGGATTCAACAACTGGATGAACTAAATACATCTTGATGGACAGAGATAAAATTTGTAATCTATTGAAAATCAACCAAATTTGTGTGGACTTTCTTCTCTTTCTTTAGTTTCTCTACTTTTGGTAGCTACCATTATTTCATTATTAATTTTAGAGATATTAATTACTGTCTTTGTTAGCAATTAGTGTTGCACCCTGTTCACTCTAGATATACTTTTTTTTTCTTCTAGGATTTTTAAAATTGTCTTGATATGAGAATTAGCTTTAATGACGATTTTGATAGAAATGATATACTAGTGCAAGAGATATTCTCATGTGCTCAATATTTCATAAAACTTATTATTCATGGATAGGACTGAATATAAATATACTCTACCTAAATTTAAAACTCTAATATAGTCTTAAGATATAGAAAACTACATTTCTATTAATGTTTTTCTGCCAAAATTCCTCCAGCACCATTTTTAAAAATAATGCCATCATTGCTTTACTGTCTTCCTTTTACTTCTACACATATTAACAAATTACCTTATCATGTAACTGTAGGTTATCACATTTTTTTGTTCAGTAATTGTCATTAAAATTATTTATAAAATTATGCATGTGTATGCATATTAGGTTGCTTTCCTAAATAATGGCCCAAATAAATTAAACGTAATAATTGTTCTTATATTTTTTAAAGCTATGATGACAGCATAAAATTACTATGTATGCTCCTTTATTCTCTAGATAATTTTTCAAGCAATGCCATTTTCTGAAGAATGCAAAGTATATGGACACAGAAAACAATCATGAATACTAGTGAACACGCTAAGTTTTGTTGATGGCCACAGGAGTTTGAATAAAGTTTTTGGGGAAAAAAATGTAGAAACTATATTTTTAGCCACCTTTTTGTGTTCCTCCAATGCAGCAGTCTTAGGACACACCATTATTTATTTTTGTTGTTGCTGTATTTGCCTTTGGAGTGGTAAGCAAAAATTCTTTGCCTAGGCTGATATCTAGAAGAGATTATCCTATGTTTTCTTCTAGAATTTTTATGGTTTCATGCCTTACATCTAAATATTTTATCCATCTTGAATTAATTTTTGTCTATGGCGAGAGATAGGGGTGTTATTTCCTTCTTCTGCATGTGGCTGTCCAGTTTTTCCAACACCATTTATTTATACAATAGGGCTTCCTTTCCCCAGTGTAGGCTGCTGTTTGCTTTGTCAAATATCAGTTGGTTGTGGGTAGATTGTTTTATTTCTGGGTTCTCTATTCTGTTCCATTGGTCTATGGCCTCTACTTTTATACCAGTATCATGCTGTTTGGGTTACTATAGCCTTGTAGTATAATTTGACTTCAGGTGACGTGATGCCTTCAGATTTGTTCTTTTGCTTAGAATTGCTTTGGCTTTTTGGGCTCTTTTTTGGTTCCAAATGAAGCTTAGGATTTTTTTTTCTACATCTGTGAAATATGTTACTATTTTGATGGGGATTGTACCATCTGTGCACTTTTAAAAGCCTAGTGGACCTGAGGATGACTTAAAAAATAAATTAAAAAATAATAAATAAAAAAATGCCTAGTGCGATATTTATTTAAAAAAAAAAAAAAAAGATTTGGAGGACACCATATCCAGAACTTCAGGACCACACCGTACAGATTTCAAATGGCTTCCAATGACTTACCAACTTTGTGACCTGCAAATATTCTAATCTATCTGTGCCTCCACTTTCCTAAAATGGGGATAATAATAGTGTCTACCGCTTTGGGTTACTGTGAGCATTAAGTGGGTTACAAAGCACTCAGCACAGTGTCTGGGATATAGTAAATGTTATATGAGTTTCACAGACATATTGCTTTCTTGCTATCAGTTAAGTTTTTTAATCACAGATTTTATCTATACTTTAAATCACAGAAGAATTACTCTTATGAAAAGGCACCCTCTTTTGCCCATCAGGCTTTTAAGTACTTTTGCATTCACTCATTCAACAAATATTTACCAAGCATTTCCATATGCCAAGCCTTGTGTTAATGTCTTTCAGCAAGTATCTCCCTAGCTCATCATCACAAGCTAGAAACCTGATGACAGTATATATTTCCTATTTCTAACCTGAGTCTGCATAACAACTTCTCTGTCTGGCAAACTGATCTACAGTACTTTACAAATGCTTCATAAGGTCTCAGACGTTCTGCAGTAAAGAAAGACTTAGAAAATCACTTACTTAATAAGTACATAAGTTTATATAATATTAGTCATAAGAATTATGACAAAAATATAGAAAATATAGTAGTTAAAAAAGTAAAGACATAGTCCTCATGTTCTTCAGAAAAAATTTCTGGGACAGGCGCCGTGGCTCAGGCCTGTAAAATCCTAGCACTCTGGGAGGCCAAGGAGGGAGGATCGCTTGAGCTCAGGAGCACGAGATTAGCCTGAGCAAGAGCAAGACCAGTCTCTACTAAAAACAGAAAAATTAGCCAGGCATTGTGGCATGCGCCTATAGTACCAGCTACTCAGGAGGCTGAGGCAGGATTGCTTGAGCTCAGGAATTTGAGGTTTCTGTGAGCTAGGCTGATGCCATGGCAGTCTACTCCGGGCAACAGAGTGAGACTCTGTCTCAAAAAAAAAAAAAAGAGGCCGGGTGTAGTGTGGCTCACGCCTGTAATCCTAGCACTCTGGGAGGCCGAGGCGGGAGGATCGCTCAAGGTCAGGAGTTCAAGACCAGCCTGAGCAAGAGCGAGACCTCGTCTCCACTAAAAAAAAAAATAGAAAGAAATTAGTTGGACGACTAAAAATATATAAAAAAAAAAATTAGCCGGGCATGGTGGCGCATGCCTGTAGTCCCAGCTACTCTTGAGCCCAGGAATTTCAGGTTGCTGTGAGCTAGCCTGACGCCACGGCACTCTAGCCTGGCCAACAGAGCAAGACTCTGTCTCAGAAAAAAAAAAAAATGAAAGAAAGAATAAAGAATTTCTGGGTCTTAATTGGTGGAATACTTTGCATGCAGCAGAAAACAGAACATGGAAATCAGGGTGTACAGAATTAGTTTTCTAACAGTTACCATTAAAGTGAAAGGATACCAATCGTAACAGAAAATCATGGTGGAAAATTAAAATGGAATGATACTTAACTGCTTAGAAATAGGTAGGACTTAATGCATAAAATATATCCTTTTCTGTTTTGGATGTAAGGTGTTATATGAATCAAAAGAATATATGTCTAATAAATCATTAAGTTTTAAAAAATAGACATCTACTATGTGCCAGGCACTGTGTTAATTTAGTGCCATGAATAAATAATTTAACTTAGATTCTATTCTGAAATACCTTAGACAAGACAGGATTCCTTATTTCCTCATCTGTAAAATGGATAAGGAGAACCTTCTACCTAAAAACAGTAAAATTCCTAAACATTTCATAAGGTATGTGAAAAAATGTCAAAACTAAGTATATAAATTGTGATTATCTAGCAAAAAAATTTATTCCTGTTTCCATCTAATAAAATCTTACATAATATTTCAAAGAATTGTTAATATAATACTTAATACTAAAATGAGTTATTTGAGTAATCAAAGATATTTCAAAGATCAGATTTTTCCACCTACCTCTGAAAATGATGACTGTACAGCTGTGTTGGAATACCAAGAATACGATCATATATAGCTGTAACTTCTCTCAAGTTTCTCTGTTCATTTTCCCAGTTTATATACATTTCCCACAATCTATCAGATCGAAAATCTGTTCCTGCAGCTAGAACAGCATGCTCAAAAGTTCTGAAAAATTAAATTACTCTTAAGTTATCTTTCCAAGATAAAATCACTTTTAATATATTATTTCTAAATTTAAAAGACAATGCTAAATTCAAAAAATTATATTGAACTGCTTCCTATGCAAGTAGGGAATTAAAAGGTAGAAGAAATAATAGAAAGTATAGAGTAGCTGCTTAAAAAAAGAGTGAGAAAATAAAAGGAATAGATAAATGTACTTTAGATGTAATTTTACCAAATGTAAAATTACAATGCAAAATATACACACTGTAAACAGGTTAGAGTGACACAGTAAACATTTAAATATCTGTTAAACTTGAAATGTCTGTTGTATAGATTCATTTAGGGCAAAAGACAAAACTAAAACAAGTAAGAATTTAGAGAGGCAAATTTTACCTCAAATTAAGGAATATATTCTAGCAAAAATAACACTCCATCAAGGAATCCAGCTGCCTTGTACAGTAATGAGAAGTAAAAATATATTTTAAAACCCTCAAAAGCCCCTATCAATTCTAAAAATCTATAATAACAAAAATACTTATTTTAAAATACCTAGCTCATTTCAAGAGATTTCTGTAAGCAATATTTTTTTTTTTTTTTTTTTGAGACAGAACAGTCTCGCTCTGTTGCCCAGGCTATAGGGCTAGAGTACCATGGCATCAGTCTAGCTCACAGCAACCTCAAACTCCTGGGCTCAAGAAATCCGCCTGCCTCAGCCTCCCAAATAGCTAGGACTACAGGAATGCGCCACCATGCCCGGCTAATGTTTTCTATATTTTTAGTTGTCTGGCTAATTTCTTTCTATTTTTAGTAGATACGGGGTCTCGTTCTTGCTCAGGCTCCCGACCTCAAGTGATCTTCCTGCCTCAGCCTCCCAAAGTGCTAGGATTACAGACATAAGCCACCATGCCTGGCCAGCAATTTTCATTATTGGATTTGACACCCCAATAGGATAAAACTTACATATACAAATTTTCAAAATAAATATCTTAAAATCAAGAGGTATTTTCAAGTAGTATAAAACTACATTCCCTAAACTAACCTATAATTTTATTACAATTCCAAAAAAATTCTAACAACTTTTGGGTGGAACAAGAAAATCAAATTCTAATATTCATCTAGCATACAAAAATATAAAATGTTTTTGCAAAAGAACAATACAGCAGGCATTTTCCTAAAAAATATCATGAGAAACTAGGAAGCTATAGTAATTACAAATATGGCACTGGCCTGGTACAGAAAAATGGACCAACAGAACAATGCCCAAGAAAACAAAAAGGAGATCAATGTATATGTGAGTAGTTAAGAATATAACATAGGAGATATTTTAAGTCAATATAGAAAGGCTAGATTATTCAAAAGGGAAAAAATATAAAAGGTTAAAGTCTATCTCACAATAGATACAAATTAAATGCCAGATAAATCAATGACCAAAACAACTATTAAAAAATTAGAACAAAATACAGGATTTACATATTCTTTACATATTCATATATCTATATATTTGTGCAAGATAGGCACAAAACTCAGGAACAAATATAAGATTGAAAATTAAACCACATTAAGATTAAAAAGAAAAAACACCTTCATATGATAAAAGACACCGTAACCAAAATTAAAGATATATCAACACTGGAGGAAATATGTTTAATATGTGGAGATAAAAGATTAAAAATGTGGAAATGGTGTGGTGGCTCAAGCCTGTAATCCCAGCATTTTCAGAGGCCAAGGTAGAAGGATCACTTGAGCCCAGAAGTTCAAGACCAGCCTGGGCAACATAGCAAGACCCTATCTCTACAAAAAAATGTTTAAAACTTAGCCAGGTGTGGTTTCACAAACCTGTAGCCCCAACTACTTGAAAGGCTGAGGTCGGAGGATCACTTGAGCACAGGAGTTTGAAGTTGCAATGAGCTATGATTGCACCACTGTACTCCAGCCTGGGTGACATGGACATGTTTAAGTGTAAGGTTTTCAAGAGAATAAAATAGATGTTACTGTCCCTGCAGAACTCTCGAATGATTCAGAAAATTGACATACTAGACACTGAGAAAAGTGTGGATAAACAGAGAGAAAGACAGTAAACGGGGCAATGAGAGAAAGACAGAATGTTAGGCCAGGCAGGGTGGCTCACGCCTATAATCCTGTTAACACTCTGGGAGGCTGACACGGGAGGATTGCTTAAGCTCAGGAGTTCGAGACCAGCCTGAGCAAGAGTGAAACCCTGTCTCTACTATAAACAGAAAAATCAGCCGCGTGTGGTGGCATGCCTGTAATCCCAGCTACTCGGGAGGCTAAGGTAGGAGAATCCCTTGAGCCCAGGAGTCTGAGGTTGCTGTGAGCCACAGCACTCTAGCCCAGGTGACAGAGCGAGACTCCGTCTCAAAAAAACAAACAAAAAGACAATGTTTAGAAGAGGGTCTGCTTAATGAATGATGAGAAATCTTCAACCCCCTTTTCTTCCCAGCTATGGCATTTCAGAAGCTAGGTTTCTGTTCTCCAGGCAGATCAGATTACCCTTCTCTGAAGAAACTGCTTGGCTTGGGAATAAGATATAAGGTTACCAACAATGGGCGTCCCCCAACAAAAACCTGAATGGCCACATGATCACCCTACTATGAAGCCCTCCAGGACAGCTAACAATGCTCCATACAAAACACACAGAGCCTCCATGTATTAATAGCTTGTTAATATCTACTCTTTAACAGGAACAGAAATCCAAAGATCAGGTATTTCAGAGATGAAAACAAATAACAAAAAAACTTCAGATCAAACAGATAGTGCTGGGAAAAGAGGAAAACTTCAACTATCCTAATATCCTCAAAGAAATAATAAAAAGATACACAGCCATGAAACAAGAATAGGAGGCTATAAGAAAAGGAACATTCAGAGAATAAGGAAGATTCTTGAGTATTAAAAACCTGATGGCAGATGTTAAAAATCCAATACAAGGGTCAAGGAAATATCTCAAAAAGCTGGACAAAGTTCAAGAGATGGAAAATAGGAACGGAGAAGATAAGAAAATGACACAATTTTTTTCCCCAGAAACAGGGTCTCACTCTCTAACCCAGGCTGGAGTGCAGTGGCATGATCATAGCACAGTGCAGCCTCAAACTCCTAGGCTCAAGCAATCTTCTTGCTTCAGTCTCCCAAGTAGCTAGAACTACAGGTTCACACCACCATACCCAGCTAAAGAAAACTCAATTATTAAAACAAGAAGTTCAATATCCTACTATTAAAAACAACAGACAAAACCAAGGGAAGGAAATTATCAAAATAAGAAAATTCATGATAATAACATTTCTAAGAACAAAAGGACATGAGCATCCCAGATTGAAAAGACTCACTCAATAAGCACAATGAATTGAGAGAAATAAAATCCATACCAAAGCACATTATCATAAAACTGCATTTATATCAAAGATAGAACATCCTAAGGACTTCCATGGAGGAAAAACAACTCATAGAAAGAGGATCTTGAAGAATGGTTATCAGACTTCTCAACAGCAACATCAGAAGCTATAGAAGAATAGAGTGCCTTCAAAGCCCCAAGGAAAAATTATCTTCAACCCAAAATTCTATACCCTATCAAACCTTAAAATTATGTTTTCATTCTAAGCATCCTTTATCAGGAAGTTATAGGATGCATTCCTCTAAAAGATGAACATCAATAAAGAAAGAGTAGGATCTAATAAACTCTAATAAACAAGGCATGAAAGCCAGGAGTGAGGTAAATACATCTCCTAGAATCAAGATAAGGAAATCCTAAGACAACTGTTGCACAGCAGAACTAGAAGACAGCAACCAGTTCAGATAACAGTAGAAAGGGTTAAAGGAGGGACAGCTCAAAGGAGGGGAAAAAATGGGACTTATGAATTATCTGACGGGTCTGATTGAGTAGAAAGCCACATTTAAAGCTTTTTACAAAGCCACTGGAGTGCACAAAAAAAGCTTAAATGCTCAAAGAAAATTAGACAAATGGGGAAAAAGGGAGGCAGGGAAATTAGTAATTAACTCCAGGAGAAACAAAAGGTTATAAAATGAAGGGATAATATGATGAAAAATATTTAAAGCTTTAGAATGATTTAAAAAACAAAAACACTGAAACACATGGATTGAAACCTATCCTGTAGGTATATTGGAAAGATATAAAATGGGGTGACAGGGTATAAGTGAGCTAAAATTCTCACCTACCATAACAGACACATAATGTGTACAATAAAGAGAGAAAGCAGTATAGAGCTGCTATTATACACACAGTGGAAAATACCAGAAGACACAGCTAAAATATTTGAAGGAAGGTGGAGAGACTGCTTTTTGTTATAGGTAGTTTAACATTAGCTGACTCTTTAAACCAAATGCATATACTTTTTTTTGAAAAACAAAAACACATTAACCAATTCCTATAATCAGTAAGAAAAAGACAATTCAAGAGAAAAATGAGCAAGTAATATGAACAGGCAATTAAAAATGGCTTATAAACAGCATATAAGAAGAAAGTTGGCTGGATGCGGTAGCTCATGTCTATAAACCTAGCACTCTGGGAGTCTGAGGCAGGATGATTGCTTGAGGTCAGGAGTTCGAGACCAGCCTGAGCAAGAGTGAGACCCCCGTCTCTACTAAAAATAAAAAAAATTAGCCGGGCGCAGTGGTGTGCGCCTGTAGTCCCAGCTACTTGGGAGGCAGGAGGATCACTGGAATCCAGGAGTCTGAGGTTGCTGTGAGCTAGGCTCACGCCATGGCACTGTAGCCTGGGCAATAAAGTGAGAGACTGTCTCGAAAAAAAAAAAAAAAGTAAACCAGGATGAGCAATCAAGATATACACAAATTAAAAAAACAAAGAGCTACCATCAGAGGTTAAAAATATACACATATGGAAAAGCTGTCGGAATTTGACTACTTTCATACACTTTGGGAGTTTAAAATAGACACCATTTTTGAAGGAACACTTGATAAATCTTAGCTGTGTATGCCCTTTGACAGAAGCTCCATTTCTAGCACATTCTACAAAAATATTGACTTGTACAGAGATGTTCTCTGTAGCACTTATTATTTCCTATAAATATGGATTTGGTCAAAAATAAAATATAGTAATTTGACACTATAAAATACTTTTGCAAGGTTAAAAAAATATGGTAGGGTCAGATTGCAAGACATTCTGTTAAATAAAAAAAAGTCAAAGAACAATGTCAAATACATACAGAAGTATGTATATCTACATATATCTGAAAGAACACATGCCAAGCCATTTAACGATAAGGTGAGTGGAACTGGGGACATAAGGAAAGGGAGTGTGGAATAGAGAAAGGCTTTATTATTTGCATTTGTTAAATAATCAAGCATAATCTTATTACATGTGTCCTTTTTTTTTAAAATAGTGCAAAAGAAACAAAGGCTAAACTTCCAGCTTAGTATTCAACATCTATTATAGAGTTCTATTATCAACATAAGAATACTTATTTACATCTTCAAATACATCTGAGTATCAATGTTTCACATACCCTCTTATTGTACTGTTTGTCTCAGGATCACTAGGGTCCAATGTTTCTTTTAAGAAGTTTATGTAATGTATCCAAAGATCAACACTAAGAGGTATTGCCTGAAGCCCCCGACGATAAACCTAAGAAGAAAACAATGAACTGTACTTCAAATATTTCATTATTTCTTAACAGAGAGGCAACACTGTGTTATCCGGTGAACCTTAGAAATACTAATTACTGGAATTTTGTTTAAATAATCTACCATTACCATTTGGGTGGAGGTTGGATAGAACATGGCAATGTTCTGATCCCCACGTGCAGAGTCTTGATCTTCAAAGCGCAGCAGTCCCTGCATTCTGACCGGGTTGTGTGGGCAGGCTTTGGGTTACAGACCATAGGGCACAGACCCATTAGAGCATCAATGACAGCGTCTGACCAAAAATGCAATAAGACGTAGCAAATGTGACTAGCAAACCAACTATATTGTTTGGAAAATGAGAAATAAATGTAAGTGAGAGAAAAGCCCTGCCCTACTTGTTAAGCTGCAGTGTAATACAGAGGCTTGCACTGCAAAGCTTGACAAACTGTAGAGGTTTAACGCACCTGCCAACAAAGAGAGAAAATATTAGCTACAAATGCCACAAGAGTGACAAATGCAAATAAAATACCCTATAAAAATTGTTTGAGCATAAATGGTAGGTACTGCCAGCCAAAAAAGAAAAGTCTTTGTTTTGTTATTAATTGGCTTACAGTACCTAATGGAGATAACTTTATTCAGTGATGTACGCACCTCATCTGATTGTTTAATGTTGTCATGCCGCTTTTCAAGATCTGCATACTTTTTCCAGTAACCATAGCAATACGGATAGTGTATGAAAAATTTGTCAAAAGCCTTCCTGGCAGCCATCAAGTGATTCTGATGAAAATAAAACAAAGTATTTAAACATCTTGGAAGATTTTGTCAAAAACATTTATTATCCTTTCAAATCTATTATCTCAAAAATAAATAAACTACACGCTTAAAAATCACACACACAGCAGCCCATTTTCCTATAAATCCAATTGAAACAGAAGAAACTAATTTTGTAAACCTTTTATTTCAGTAATTTTACACACACACCCACCCCAATTATTATAAAACACTAGGCTTTGACTCTACTTACACTGACTGTCCACAATATACAAATGCTGTAAGTTATTTTCAAAGCTAAAAATGTATCTAATGTTATTCAACTTAATCTGAAAATTTTAAGAGCCCATTTTAATTATAAGACAATGAGGCCTATTATTTTGTTATAAACTGTTATTACTTAATTATTTGACTAATCTGTCCCTTCTAATACCATTTAAATAGTTACTAACCTCCTGTTCTACATACTGAAGTAAATATACCCAGCCTGTAAAATCCTGAGGATTATTTTCTACAGTTTTCCAAAATTTTTCATATTCTGGAGGGAAATTTGCTTCTGTTTCTGTCAGTGTCACTGGAAGGTCCACAGCATTTGCCATTTCACTTTCTTCTGTAGATGCATTGATATTGGGAGAGTCATCAGGTGACTGTTCCATTTCTGTAACATTCATAATCTCAGTACTGAAATCAGCAGGATGTTCTACCACTACCTCTGAATTGCTGCCTGTGCTGCCATTACTAGAATTTCTGTACTCATCCATGTGAGAATTTTGCATAGCTATTTATTCTGTCTTCAGTTAATGATCTGTAGAAATACACAAAAAGAGAGAAACATCTTCTAAATGTTAATAAAATAATCATGGCTTTAGTTTCTTCATTCATAAAACAAGTATCACACCTACTCCCTAATGAAGCAACCATATTTAAAATTCAGTGTTTCTCGGCTAGCTAAAAATCTAAAATTAAATGCCTGAATGCTATCTTGCTATCAATCACTGGAAAACAACAATATCTTTCATATCTGTCCTGAAGACTAAATGTAAAACTGACAAAACAAATTCTGGTCATGGATATAAGCATTTCAGAGGATATAAGCATTTCAGAAGGAAGTTAGTACATCACTTAGCTCAGGAGAAAGTTTTAGAAAACAGAAAGCTATTTTCAAAATATATCTATATATTTACAATAATTTTAAATCCTGGCAACTAGCTTTCAATGTTATCATAGAAGATGTAAATTATGGTCTTAAAAAAATAAAGAGTGATTTTTAAAGTGAATAACTGTTATTAAAAACATTTAAGGCTGGGCACACAGCTACAATCCCAGCACTTTGGGAGACAAGGGTGGGAGGGAGGATCACTTGAGGCCAGGAGTTCAAGACCAGCCTGGGCAATATAGTAAGATTATGTTTCTACAAAAAAAAAGAAAATTTAGGATGGGTGCAGTGGCTCGTGCCTGTAATTCTAGTACTCTGGGGCGGAGGCAGGAGGATCGCTCAAGCTCAGGAGGTCGAGAGCAGCCTGAGCTAGAGTGAGAGTCCGTCTCTACTAAAAATAGAAAAAATTAGCCAGGCGTCATGGCCCATTCCTGTAATCCCAGCTACACAGGAGGCTGAGGCAGAAGGATTATTTGAGTCCAGGAGTTTGAGGTTGCAGTGAGCTATGGTGATGCCACTCCTCTCTAGCTGGAGTGACAGAGGGAGACTCTGTCTCAAAAAAAAAAAAAAAAAAAATTAAATTAGCTACGTGTGGCGCCTGCCTGTAGCCCCAGCTACTCAGGAGGCTGAGGTAGCAGGATTGCTTGAGTTCAGGAATTCAAAGTTACAGAGAGTTATGATCAGGCCACTGTACGCTAGCCTGGGCGACAAAGCGAGACTCTGCTTTAAAAAAAAAAAAATTAAGCATTTACTATCTGAATAGTAACTGTCCAACATATTTAAAACTATGTCATCTAATTTTTAGAGCCAGAAGATAAGGAATTATCCTTTTAAGGTAGTACCACAATATATTTTTAGAATTGCTTTCATCTCTTCCACTAACAGTTTAAATGGACACCAAATCATTAAATTATAGGGCATTATCTTATTTTTTTTCAAGTGAAGGATTATTTTCAAAACATAACAAACCATAAAACTGGTTTACTATTAAAATACACTCAGAATACACTACTACTTAATATTGTACTGAGTACATTTAAAAGATGATTAAGACTTTCAAGGCAATAATGTAAAGGAAAAAATGCAAATGACCAATAAATGTATGAAAAGATCATATCTTTTCTAATAAAGATGTAAATTAAAATGAGATTATCAAATTGGTAACAATTAAAAAGATATATTTCTGGAGGACAGTCAAGTAAAATGTAGCAAATAGCAACTGTGCATATTTTATGCTATGGAAATAATCAGGAAAATGTCAGTTGGTATTAACAGTTGTTCTCCATACAAAAGTGGGATGAGTGCTATATTCTTTTGGCTTTATCTGCAATTACTTAACTGAACTGGTGGGTGGGGGGATGTTCTTTTGTTATTTTAAAGAAAAGCCAGCTATGGGTTAGCTGGCTAAAAGGTTTTTTTGCAATTTTATGACTACTGTACTTTAAAAATCGGGATTACATTATAGTTCATACAGAAACTCTCAAATCTAGCTCCAAACAAAGGTCAACTAGAGTAAGGTGTTTAAATTAAAACAAATAGAGATTTCTTGGTCCAACTCCAATGATTCTAAGATCTAAGCTAGGGCCCAGAAAGTTATACTTCTATGAAGCTCTCTAATTCACAAAAACAGAAATTTATTCATGGGTAAACTCTGAACAATAGAACTTTTGGATCAAAGAATAAGTGTATATTAAATTTGGGAAGATGCTGACAATTTATGTCTAGAAAAGTTGCACTAGTCATGTAACAGACACTTTTAGTTGCCTATCCAATACCCCTTTCTCATTAATAAATTAGTAATTTCCTTACTAATAAAACACTGATTTTGTTCAGAGCAGCAATATACCTAATCCCATGTAAGGGACCATGAGACTGAAAAGAACATCTGCGGTAGAGCTCTGGGAGTGCCTTTTGCTTTCTTGATAAAAACGGACAATTTCAGCTAGTCTGGTTTTTCCTTCTACTAATTTATTGTTACCTTGAATTTGAACATATCTGAAACAACTCATGTCCATGAAGCAGTTAATAAGGGATTGGCCAAGAAAAGTAAGAAATGCCACCACTGATATCATCAATTTGCTAACAAAATGCCAGCTTCCTATTGTGTGAGAAAGTAAATTCCTATGTGTTTAAACTACTATTAACAGACAGGTTTTTTACTACTTCTAGATGAAATACATTCCTAACTGATTAACACACTAACAGTGCATGAGACAGTAGTCCATTCCTCCATCTCCCCTTGTCAGCACTATGGTGAAACTTAACATTTGCTCACCTAATTAAAAAAAAAAAAAAATAGTACTTCATTTTGATTTTAATTTAACTATGAAGGATGTAAAATTTGTGTTTCTTTTTTTCATAAATAGCTTTTCATATCTTCTGTCCATATTTTCTTGCATTACTAATTTTTTTTCCCTTATTAGTTTGTACAAGGTCTTTGTAAACTAAGAAAATCAGATCTTTGCAAAATATTTTTTGAGTTTGTCTTACTAGTTTTACATTTTGGGTATGTATGTGTTTGTGTGGGGGGGACATCTTTTAAATTGTCATGTAAATACAAAATACAGATTTTAAAATATTTTCATTATTTCAAAATGCAGTATGAACCTAATTTTTTCCTAACAAAGGATAAATTTGAAATGTTAAATCAAGAGGCCTTCTGAGTCTGAATGCCATTAGAAGAATCAGTTATAACCAGGAAAATCATACAAAATATGAAGGAAAAAAAGGGAGACGGCAGGGAGATTACATGGGGACAAAAATTTTCAATGTTTGATGTATGTCCAGCACTATATTACATTCCTTGTAGAGATATATGGTAAATGTAAGATAAGATCCTCTCTCTGCAAGGTTTATTAACTAGGTAGAGAAAGATCAAAAAACAAAGTAGGCTGGGCACAGTGGCTCATGCCTGTAATCCTAGCATGTTGGGGGGCTGAGGCAGGAGGACCACTTGAGGCCACGAGTTCAAGACCAGCCTGAGGAACATAAAGAGATGCTGTCTTTACAAAAATTTTTTTGAAAATTAGCTGGTTGTGGTGGTACACACCTGTAGTCTTAGCTACTCAGGAGGCTGAGGCAGTAGGATCACTTGAGTCCAGGAGTTTGAGGCTGCAGTGAGCTATGATTGTGTCACTGCACTGCGGCCTAAGTGACAGAGTGAGACCTGTCTCAAAAAAAAGTACAAAACTATATCTATCTATCTAGAAAGAGAAAGAGAAAGAGAGAGAAATTAGAATATCAAAAGAAGCAGAGTCAAATATTAGAGAAATCAGTTGAAAATGACAGCAATCTAGAAAGCTTTGTGATATGCAGAACTTGGTCTTAACTTTGAAAAATCACAGGTTTGGGAATAATTTAAGAAGAATGATAAATTATTCCAGAATGCAAAACAACCTGTTTGACAACACTTTTTGATAGCAGACAAGAAGGTGGAAATGATAATTGGCAAACCAAGGTAGAGATAGAATGCCTAGAATGATGAGGGTTTGTACTGGGGAAGTGGAAGGGTAAGAAGCAGAATAAGCAGGGTGCAGCCAGATTATGGACACAAGGATTTGATAAGAAATAATAGAAAAACCAAATCTAGCCAGGTGCAGTGGCTCATGCCTGTAATCCCAACACTCTGGGAGGCTGAGGTGGTATGATCACTTGAGACCAGAAGTTCAAGACCAGCCTTGGCAACATAGTAAGACCCATATCTCCACAAAAAATGGAAAAGTTAGCCAGGTATGGTGGCGTGCACCTGTGGTCCCAGCTACTCAGGAGCCTGAGGTAGGAGGATCACCGGAGCCCAGGACCCAGGAGTTTGAGATTGCAGTGACCTATGACCATGTCACTGCACTCTAGCCCAGGCAACAGAGAGCAAGACCCTGTCTAAAAGCAAACAAACAAAAAAACCCAGAAACTAAGAAATGTTGGCAAGGATATGGAGAAACTACAACTTTTGTACAGTCTTAGTGAGAATATAAAATGGTACAACCACTATGGAAAACAGTATGCCAGTTCTTCAAAAAATTAAAAACTACCATATGATCCAGCAATCCCACTTCTGGGTATATATCCAAAAGAATCAAAAGCAGGGACACGAAGAGATATCTGTACACCCATGTTCACAGCAGCACTATTCACAACAGCCTGGTGCAAGCAACCCTAGTGACAGATGAATGGATTAAAAAAAAAAAGTGATATACACATTCATACACACACACCAGAATATTATTCAGCTTTAAAAAGAAAGGAAATCTTGTCATATGCTTCAACCTGCATGAATCTTGTGGACATTACGTAAGCGAAATCAGCCAAAAGACAAACACTATATGATTCTACTCAGATGAGATATTTGAAGTAGTCAAATTCATCGAAGCAGAAAGGAGAATGGAGGTTTACTAGGGGCTGGGAGCTGAGAGAAAAAGAGAGTTGTTGTTTACTGGGTACAGTGTTTCAGCTTTACAAGATAAAAAAAGTTCTGTTCTGCAACCATATTAGCACTTAAAAATGATTAAAATGGTAAATTTTATGTGTTTTTTACCACAATTTTTAAAAAGACATCTAAATTACAACAAAATTAGGAAACAAAGTACAAAAGACTAAGAATTAGAATCTACAGGTCTTTCTTTCACCTGTTAATTATTTAAATAAGCATGTGG